TTCTTACAAGCTACAATAACCACGTACGTAGCAAATCATATCCAACAAGCTTTCAAATCACATACATATATAAGAGAATAGATAAATATATATCGGAAAGGTTTGGTGTAGGAATTCATGGCAGATCAAGATCAGCTACAACAGCTCATGTTGATCTCCACAAAATGCTGCAAAATCAGCATTGTCATCATCGCGACAATAGCAGTTATAGTCGCGATATTCATCTTGACGGTTCGTTTTTGCGCGAAACTTCAACAACATATGATCATGGTGAGATATGATATGCACCTTCCAATCTTCACCTACCAGTTATATCATCAAGTAATCGACAAGGAAATCATCATCCCTTATTGTGCAGTATGTCTCCAAGAGGCTATTCATGGGGAAGGGTTTCGAAAATTACCCGAATGCAACCATTGTTTTCATGTTCACTGCATTGACGAATGGTTTCTGTCCCACAGTACTTGCCCTCTTTGTAGAAGTGAGGTCTCTTTTCTTAGTCATAATTTCAAGCAATATCAGCGAATTCATACTCAGCACGGTTTCCTTATGCCCACATGTTTTCTTACCTTTTTCAGTTTTTTCTAGTGAAAATGTGGTGGTAGAAACATATATGATATACATCGATCCTTTCGTACGTTCCTATCTATATTTGGTTATAGTTTTACAATTTATTTTTTTATTATGATCTCTTACCCCTTCAAATTTTATCCACACCCTCGTCATCAAATGTTGGGCACTTTAGGGTGGGGAGGACGGTTGTCAGATTGAATCTAATTAGGTAGGGTTGGGGTCTTTGTTGATCTTGAGACATTTTCGGATGTGTTGGCCTTCATCTCGACCTACCCTATGGAGGTTTTGTATTGGCAGAAGAGTTGAGTTATCTTGTGGTGCACATGTCTTTCTTTGTCGCTATACCACCCGAGTGTGTTTACTAACAACTCATCTTTTATGCCATTTTGTTTTGTTAATGTTGAGGGGCTTGCTCTTCTTCGTGTTTTGATGCGCTGGCTTGTGGATTTTTTCATTCCTCTTTGTAATAATGGTGTTTCTTACACTGATTAATTTAGGTTATTTTTTTGTTTGTTTAATACTATTTGGTTATCTTTATCGTCCGCGAGAATTGTTTCGTTGCAGTTTTGTGTAGCTTTCATGCTATGGATTCCTCGACATCGGTTGATCGGATGTTTTCCATCGACCGTAGAGGATCTATAAAAGAGCCATATGTGTACTCGATTTTTAGTGTACCATTTTAGTTGATTTCCGCTTGTAGAGTCCGGTACAAACTATTTTTTGTTGAATTTCATTCGAGTTTTATGATGGAATCGATTATCTGTCAGTGTCGTGTTTCCTATAGTAGAGATTATGCATATAGATTAGTGTTTGTAATGTTTTTTTATACTTTGAAAAAAAAAACCTTTATACACTTTCCCCTAAGGATAAAAATAAATAAATAACTTTATACAATGAAACTATGTCCGAAGTACATGACCGCCTTCATTATAGAAATGGAATTTATATATATTTTACTTCACGTACAATAAAAGGGGGGAAAAAAAAGAAGCAAAAATTAATATTTAGATATTGGAATCACGGATTTGTTATGAGGAAAATTTCAAAGCCTTTCTGGTTCTAGTCAGTTTGGATTCATCAGTCGGAAATAAACTTCAGGCTATAAAACATGCATTAAAAAGTGGAACGAGGAGGCGTTTGGTGATGTTTTTGTTGGCGTTAACAGGGCGAGTCCCATCTTTCTAATATTCAGTTAGATATATTGTTGCCAACGGTTTTTCTAATGATAAATTTCACCAAGAGATTTATGCTCATAATTCCCTTTGAGATTGTCACGCTTCAAAAAAAAAAAAAAAAAATCCCAGTTTGTAGCAAAGTAAATGTAAAAGTCAAGGTAAAAGAATCTAGCTTCTCAAAATTCTTAAAAGTGCATTAGTGTTTGTACAAAGTAGGCTACTTAAATCTTATTATGTCGAAAGAACTTTTGGATACTTGAAATGTGATACAATTCTCGTCCAAACCCAAATAAATAACCAATTTAATTATCGGAAATAGTAGAAAATAGGCCAATATGAAAAGCTTAAGGAAGTATATAGGTCAACTTTTAGTTATAGAAATTAAAAAGCCATAACTTGTCAAGTTATTGTTTATAACCAGATAAGTTATGGATAAACTTGTCAAGTTATAGTTTATAACCAGACAAGTTATAGACGAAAACAGTAATTTGGCATATTTATTAACTTATGTAAACTATTGGCCTATTAATTTTAATTCATCTCAAGTCTTGGCCTATTTCTCTCTTTCTCCTTTTAATTATTCTAAAAAGGTCAGGTAAACCATCGATTTTCAAAAAGGATTATAAATTTACCCTAAAAAAGGGACTCAAAACTAAAGAAAAAGGTTACACCATTGTTGCCAAACACTATACACAAACATAACCTCTAAACACAAGATGATGATGATTATGGTGACGATGATGAGTACATAATCCGTGTTGCTAGATATATCATTCTCAAGCCAGTTTAAGCAACCATTCATCAATCCCAGAATAAAAGGCAATGATAAGATTAATTGGTCCAAGATGAATAATTATAATTCTGTAATCCTACGTTGCATTATCACTAAGCAACCTCCATCGTCTCGAGTCACATCTTACATGCACAAGTTCAGAGCTGCACCAAACGACGAGCTGTATTTTTTTTTTCGATAATTTCGAGCACATCTTTCATGAATCTGCTCTTTCATAAACTTACCATGGAGCATTTCTTCGACCATGTCTTTGTGGGATTCATCAACTTCAGCAAGTTGTTCCTTTGTACACTTCTTCAAGTCTTCCATCAAATCAAAATACTCATTTACCATAAACGGGATATGCCTGTCCAATTTTTTAAATTAGTGAAATTAACGAGCAAAATAATTGGAACTTCACTTAAAAACAAGATATTAGTTGCTTCTTACTCTTCAATAGCATCCTCCATAAGCTGCCGTGCAATTGCAAAAACCTGCATGCAATACGCATAATAATAAGAACTTGAAAGTCTTGTCATTCAAACAGGGGGTAAAAAAAAAAAAAAAAAAAAATCCAAACATTCAGTTCAGTCGCCAAATTCAAGCAAAAGAGTGTAATAAACATGAGACAAACCCGATTACAAATATTACAAGGCCCAGTAATGCTTGCACTTGTCATAGTCGAAGGAACTATGTAAATAAGGGTCTTCGTCACATGCTTGTACTTTTCATAGTCGAATGAACTATGCAAATAAGGGTGAACATGAGTGAGTTTTTGAGATTTTTAGGCGGAGATTGTTGAGAAATGCATGTGTGTGTTGTCTCACGTGAAAAGTGAATGAGAATGTACTTGTGATGTCTTCCCATCAAGTAAAATATGTCTGTACTACTTCATAATTCGTCACTTTAATTGTTTCTTATTTGTGAAAAACTGTGATATCGCTGCTCCTAAAACGAAAAATGCTTGCACTTTTCATTAGTCGAAGGAGCTATATAAATGAGGGTGAACATCGGGCGGGTTTTTGAGATTTTTCAACCCACCCAATTAAGTTTGAGCGGACTGATTTTAAATTCAACCCACCCAATCAACTCAAAGTTTAAAATCAACCCACCCAATTAAAATTTGGGTGGGTTGATCGGGTTGAACACAATAAATAAATAATAAAAAAAAAAGTAAAGCTCACCATTCAACTCAAAATAAGAAATGTATAAAAAAAAGCTAACGTTCATCATAATATTAACCTTATAAAGCTATAAAATTATCACATAAGTTATAAACTAATATAAAAATAAAATATATACAAAACAAGTTCAAATATATAAGTTATAAATCAATAAACAAATAATATTAAAAACTCATAGAACGTAAAACATAATAAGTTGTCAAGTAAATAATGTAAAATATGAGACAAAAATTATGTATTATGAGGTAGAAAAATATTTATTTATGTAGATAAATAGATTGGGTGAGTTCAGGTTAATTTTGGTTAAGAAAAACTCAACCCAAACCCACCTAATTAATAGTCGAGTTGGGTAGGTTGAGTTGAACTCTTAATTGAGTAGGTCAGGATCAAGTTAAAATAAGTTGAATTGGGTGGGTTAATTGGGTTCGTCGGATCGTCAGGTTTTTTGTTCACCCCTAGTAATTATATTTGAATTTGATCGTGTATTCTTTTTACGTTTTACTCGGAGAGTTTTATGGTTGATGATTTTAATGAGACTTCTCTTATTTAGTATTAATTTTTTAAGAGAGTAGATCCTTTTTCTTTCTTGTCGTTGTTTTTGTTTGCTGTCTTTTAAGTTTTGTTTCTTTTTGCCTTTGTGTGTGTGTGTGTGCGTGTGTGTTTTTTTTTTTTTTTTTTTTTTTTTTGGGTTTTATTAGCCCTTGCGCCTAATTTCTTTTTCCAAAGTCCTTGTAATTAGAAACTGGTCCTCCCTCTACACACGTGTCGATAGTTTCTCTCCATAACAAAATGCTCTCAAACTCATAGGGTCAAAAGAGAAAAACATGTTTTCATCAATATTACCATCTCTACCTGAAATTGATAAGGATCGAGATACGGTCTCTTGCTTAATTATATTATTTATGAAAATCATAAAGTTCTATGATTGAAGAATTATGATTATGAAAAGTTGTCCAGCATAAATCAATTGAAATCCCTACAAATCCCCCTAATAATGGAGGAATTAGTTATTTGCGTTACAATTAAACTCTTAACAAGTACCAGAGACAAATAGTAGGAGCCATGGATTTCGTTTGATTTCAAAATACATATATTTGATGCCATGCGTTGAGCATTATATTGCTCAAGCTGTTGTTATTTGTTTGTTTGTTTGTTTGTGTTTTTGTTTTTTTTTTTACACTGCATAGATAAAACCATTTTCCTGTGTCACTATGAGCCCGTGAGATTTTAGATAATTTAATATTATACGTTGCTATTAAAACTACAAGAAGTAAACAAGAGTTTTGCTGGAAAATATTCAGGAAACTAGCCAGGCGTAGCTATTACAATACTAATATGGCACCAAATATGTATTACGAAAAAACAAAACTAAAACATAGCACGCATAAATCTTTATATGTATCTCAATGTATTGAGAAACTAATTAATTCTTGGTTTGGGAAGAGAGAGGCTGAAACCCATGACGAAGACTTGCTTCCCAGACTTTCTCAAAGTTGCATACATTGGTAATGTTAAAGCCGCATTCGTGCTCATCCCAACCAGCCAAGGCATGAACTATTCCCGCTACTCGCCATGCACTCATCGCCCTTCTCGGTAACCAATTCTATCATTTATGATGTTACAAAATGTTAAACACTTTATAAAAACATATATATATATATATATATATATATGATATATTTCGTACTTAAGCTAAATCTGTACATAGAAGCAAACTTAAAAGTATTTTTTCCTCTCACAACTCATCACTATTTTTATACGTTAACAAAATCTTGCCATGGTGTACTCATGGCTAGAAAAAAGTGCTTTTATGTTGTGACCAAAAGTTTTACCCATATGCTAATTCCTCTATTTTTGTTTTTTTTTTGTTTTTGTTTTTGCTTTTGTAAAAGAGTGCAGTTTTATAGTCACAATTAAATACGATCTAATTAAAAGAGACATAAAATACTTGTAAAGAGCTGTATTTAAATACTTACCTCGCAAGCATGAATATTCTCAAGAGTTTTAGGAGTTAGCATTGCAGGCGTGTGGTGGTAAAAACAGTCTCTGCGCAATTTCTTAGGAGGAAATTGGGAGAAAGGAACAAATATTGTTCCTTTTGAAGCTTTTGACTGTTCTTCTTCAGTCAATCCATCCCCCACTAACCAAATCTGCATAAGTAAAAATGTTGCAATATAAAATATCTGTCTTAAAATATATAAAAAAATCTTCTGCCATTGATTAAATAAGACATGTTTAAAAAGGCACAAGATTTAGCTTAAATAATTACCTGGTGACGAGAATAATATTTTGAGATAACCAAATTACTCTTAGAATCTTCATCATTCTGTGACTTTTTAAGTTTTACAAACTCATCCTCAGACGACGAAGCAACCTGAAATAAGCTCAAGTTATTGCTTAAATAGTACAAGAATATAAATTTGTGGACATGTTTACTAAACTATAAAGAATGTAATGAAAAAGGTAATTAGATTGAAAATGATTTTTATTTTCAGTTTTATGTAAATGGAGTGAGGATAACTAATATAAGAAAAATTTAGCACACCCTAACTATTTGGCAGTTCACAACTACTAAGTAACTCGTCCTGTATTAAATGTCTCACTCTAATTAATTTATCAATAAGAAGGAAAAAGATACAAAATAAAGATGTTTAGAATCCAACCACCAGGGGTTAACAAACACAAAATTCTTAAAAAACAAGACAACAAGGAACAAACCTACAGAAACGGCAAACGAGAGGCCTCGTGTTTACTTGTCTATTATTATGTGTGACGAAAAAATAAAAAATAAATAAATAAACTAATTCCCTTTACATTGTTCACTAAACTTAAAAGAGAGATAGATCATTAAAACCAATCTCCTGTTTACTTGTCTAGATCGTTAAAATGAATCTCATATCCACTTGTCTACTAGAATGTGTAATTGAAAACAAAAAAAAAAAAAAATTAAAACTTATCAACATATATATATATACACACCCATACATACATATAGAGAGATTATTAAAATTAATATCGTGTTTACTTGTCTCCTAAAATGTGTAATGAGGAAAAAGAAATTCCCTTTATAGTGCTCACTAAACTTAGCAAGTAATCTTATCGATGAAATTGCTGAAGTTTCTTTTTACATAATTAAATAATCAATAAAAGATAACATATGAGCTTATTAAGGGTGTATAAAAGGTATTTTACACTCATTTCTATAACAGGGAAATCAATGCTAATTAGGGAATGCAAGAGGTGGTATAATTTTCCCCATTTTCTATTTTATATGAGGTCCATTAAACTTTTATTATTAATCTTGTAAGTAAAAAACAATAATTCTTTATATAATTTCATTTTCTTTTAATGTGAAGTAAACATGTCCTGCGTTTTTTTTTTCCCTCGAGATGAAAACATGCCCTAGTTTTAAAGGACACAAATAGAGGGGACATATGAACTCAATCCTACGGCAAAGTGACATTGCGGATCTTTCTACTTTTAGGTGCACTAAAATAGTGATTTCTTTATGATCTCTTAAACATTAGTGGGAACCCAAAAAAAAAAAGAAAAAAAGAAAGAAGAAATACCTGAATACCCTTGTGGCACAAGGCGTAGGCAATAGCATAAGCAACCTTAGTAAGTTTGCCAATAAGCAGCACTTGAGTCGTCCCTTTTGGTATGTTGTTCAGCACTATTGCCACTGCAAGACTACTGCCATTGACAATCTTCACTTTTAATTGAGGATTTCTATGAATATAAAGCCCGCCATTTGCATTCAGCTCGTCACTCTGTAAATCTTGTAGTTAATAAAGGTTTCGCTTTTTCAGCTTTCGTCTTTTAGCTTCAAAGAGCCACACACACACACACACACAGATATATATATATATATATATATATATATATATATATATATTAATTAATTTAAAAGATAGCAGTTTAGCGCACACACAAACTAAATAAAGAAAGAAAGAGGAAGCAAAAGTGATTTGCTTAATTAGGATTTTCCTCTCTTTTCATTACGAAAGGTTACATAAGAGTTCCACCATATGAACAAAATAAACAAACTCAAAAGGCAAATATACAAATTTAATTGGGAATTTTTTTATCTCTATTTTCATATTAAAAAAAAAACGTATTACTTCGTGAGCTAAATATAACACAGTTCATGTAGCATACTAGTACTTTTATGTAAGACGCATATACTATTAATTAATAGCAGTATCAGTATGTAACATTAATGTTAAAAGACTAAACATTTCTCCTTTGTCTCTTTTTCAGCACAATATGATGAATTCTAAAGGTCATGTGGGGAATTATTTACTTGCTGGTAAAGAGAAACGACAATATACATACATACATACACACACACACACACAGATATATATATATATATAAATACTTGCCTGATTCAAGAGACCTAGACTTAAAACTTTGGCACCCTTCTCCTCTGCTTCATGGATGGCTTCCTCAATCAAGCTGTTGATAGATTCATTTTGCCATTGCAACAAGTACTAGAACAACAACAACATGTTCACACACACATACGTCGTGTTATCTCTATTATGTTGAACACTATTTATAATTTCAAGTAAAATAATACTACTTATAATTTCCATCAAAAAAAAAAAAAGAATGCAAATCGAAATATACTTACTTGTATCTTATATTTCGGTAGAGCCCAAGTTTGTAAGCTGAGCTTATCAAAACGATGCCTCTCAACAACAAATGTACGGCCATAGATCCAAGTTAACATCATTGACCATAATGTAACAGGCCTCATCAACTTGAAGTACCATTTTGGGCCATAGGGTTTTGAGGACAAATCCGCGAATCCAAGCCGTAAATGGTAGATCGACTCCGGTGTCGTCAAATGCGTAAGATGCACGACATCCGGCGATTCTTCCCGTCTCTTGAGTGATGATTCATACAGAGAATCAGAAGATTTATCCGTCGTGCCATAGATGTAATCGTAGAGTGGCATAAATAAAGAATAATTGGTTCGGAACTTAGTATGATGTAAAGAATGGAACCTGTGTAATTGATAAGATTCAAATAAATATAATATAATTGAACACAAATATCACATAATTATATATTTCTTTTCGACATCGGACTTCCAAAAAAATAAAAATAAAAAACTCAATTGGGTTATGACCTACCAATTCATTACATATCAATAGATCATATGGATATGTAGGGAGTTACAAGGGAAATTGGAAGCTTACGAGGGGGTATACATAAGGTACTTGAGAGGAGGAAAAATAGAGAAGAGCCATTTTGGAATTAGCTCGAAATTGCAGTGTCCCATATTGTTCATCAAGTCAATGTAGGTGATGTATCCAGCAAAAGATGATATGGAGGCAGTTCTTGTAAACACTGTTGTATACAGAGGTATTGCAAAAAGCGTGAAATATGCAATGTGCTCTGCAAATGGATGAATCACAGCTGCCAGAAAAAGAAAATGGAAAAAAAAGTATTATTAAGCAGTAAACTGTAATGTGTTTGGAAAGAAAATTCTTTAGAAAGATTGTAGTGTAAAAATAGTAGATATTCAATTTTGTAAAATTTAAAGATGTTGTATGTTCATGAAATTCTAGCAAAGGTGCTCATATCACAATTGAAGATCCACCTTCTGATCGAATGTTTATTTATGTTTGTGTATTTTAGTACTATATGTGTTGTTCAAACTTTTTGTCTCATTTAAAGATTAATAAGATAATGCTCAAGTCTTGGTAGTCTAAGAGCCTTAAAATTTAAAGTTAATTGGATACAAACTCGGGCGGATGCCCAAATTTATAGCTCATCTCATAAATGGTATTTCACCACGAAAATACACTTGTGTGATCATTGCTTTGTAACTAACTACCCAGTCGGAAGTACATTACTGATGAAACTCCATTGAAGTGTAGTATTTGATCAAAAGTTTGTGCGATAAAAAATAGAGCTTCGTATACAAGGTAAGTATGTACGCATGTAACGTGTGAAGCTGAAGCACAAAGAAGACTACGCCAAAAAATAAGAGTACTAGGTATGTAAAGTTTGAACCCATATATATATATATATAATTCTTTTTTATGCATGCTTGAATTAGTAGTATTTAGACAAAGAAGACAAGGCTAAAAAATAAAAGAATTTATGGGGGGAAATTTTTAGGAATACCATCAAAAAGATAAACTATCTTATTTATGTCATCAATTTTAAATTTCTCATTTATGTTATAATATTCTGATAAGATGTCTTTAATATTTTTTTAATAGGATATTTTTAATATTCTACTAGAATGTGAATATATTTTAATAACATACATAATAGGCTACGCTACTAAACAAACAATGATTATTCTAGTAATTTTGCCATAGAAATTCTTAAAAAGTAAATATTTAAGTTTTTGGGACTTACAAGTGATGGGCTCAGTCACAATGGAAGAATGATGATGAGAATGATAGCGAGAGTAGAGGAAATGGTGGTGAAGTGCTCTGTGAAGCCAATAGTAAAGGAACTCCACAACACTTGCGTGGAGAAGGATGGTTAAGATTACGCCATCTGTCTTCCACATTGGTAGGTTTGAGCCTCCCGGCAATAATTGGCTTCCCAAGTAGAATATGATTGCGTTGAACAGTATTTGGTCATCCCTGTTAGAAGTTGAAACAAAACAGAATGTGGATATTACTAACTAGGTAATGAAAGGTGTTTTTCCTTTGGCATATATGGAATTTATGATATCAATGAATTAAGTAGCTGCTAATGATATAAGAAAAGTAAAATGTAAATTTTTCTTTCATATACACATATATTATAACCATAGATATATATGTTATATATGTATGTGTAATATTTTTCTTGAGGATGATACATTCATTTTGATTGTGTTGTAAATAAGTTATTACTATAAGGGAGAATGAATAAAAACAAACTACATGGACAAAGGAAATATAAAGCGGAGCCACTTGATATATAGGACAAACTTTTGCCTCGTAATTTGCAGCTTCCCTCTTAATTTGCAACCCAAGATTTTATAATTACATCTTTTATATTTGTTTTCTTTTAAATATTAGAAGATTTTCTGCGTTAGATTTATATACTTTTTAATTTTTACGTAATTTTATATATATTCGACATATAAAAAATTTGACATATTGATATATTAGCATATCGGAGAAGATCTCTTAAATATTTTCTTTTATCTCCTGAATTTTAACTTTATGTGTTCTCATATTTTACAAAACTTTTTTTAACTATTAAAAAGAGGCTTTCTTCGATAGTCCCTGTAAAAATAGACTATCGATAGTTTCTTATTCAGCTGTTAAATTTATATCAAAATCTGTCTGTACTGCACACTTTTTTAATATGATATGATTTTAACTAGATTTAACAGTAAAAAACTGAGACTACCGGTAGGAGGAACTATTAGAAAAACTCCATACTAAATAAGGACCTTTAAATTTTTACTTAAATATGCTAATAATCCAAACTTAAAATCCATATAAAAACAAAAATGAGAAAATTCCACTTTGGTACCCTATGTTATATCAAAATTTGAGTTTGGTATCCTCTATTTTTGAAAATTTCATGTTGGTACCTCGACTTCTTAGAAAATCTCTTTTTAGTACCTTAGAGCTATTTTTTAGGACGCGAAAAGACAAAATTGTCCTTATTGTAAAAATTCATTTGTTAACCAAAATTTTAAAGAAAAAAAAGATTTTAAAAATTGATGTACCTGTAGAGCATAATCCTTTTTTTTTAAATTCTTCTCTTCAAAATCCTTTTTTAAAATCCTATATTTTTTTTTTTTTCAAAATTATAGTCAACATATGAGTTTTTACAATAAGGGTAAATTTGTCTTTTTGTGTCTCAAAAAATGACTCTGACGTACAAAATTTTTTTTTTTAAAAGGTTGAGGTACTAGCATGAAATTTTTAAAAACAGAGATACCAAACTCAAGTTTTGATAAAACATAGGGTACCAAAATGAAAATTTTCTAACAAAAATTAACTATTCTACTATATAAACTCATAATTTCATAAAGTTTAAACATTAGAAAATGAGTTAAAATCAATTAGAAGTTTGGTTCACTTAAAATAAGAAACAAAAGATAAAAATAGATTAAAAAAAAGGTGAAAAAGGGAAACCAAGAGTTCTGAAAAAGAAAAACAGTTGCACAACATTTTTTTTGTTGTCAAAACTTTAGTTTAATTCATTGTTCTTTTAAATAATTTTTGACTACGCCCCTGGAAGAAAAATTCTTTGACTTCAAATTGATCATTCAAACTCATTCAACTTTAATTTTCAAATTAAAAGTGAATAGAATAAAGTACACTTCTGTACGATATCATGAGTTTAATTCTATATCTACCCATCTCAATATATATATATATATATATATGTATATATATGCATATTTATAGTGTTCCCGTGTAGATTAATTATAGTATATATAGTACAGTACTTCTCTTGCAAAATAGGAGAAAATGAGAAAAAAAAAAAGATAGATATAGGACATATTATTACTCACCAATTTCTCTCCCTGTCAACTTGGTCGAATTCAAGACCCTTGTCCAAAATGCGATTATTGCCTTTGGCAGTTCGGTAACGAGAAAGACTTATCCAAATCTGGTTGTGAATCATTCTCCATAGCATAAGTGGGAAGATTAGGAAATAAGACAAATCTCTGTCTTGTGGATCATCCTTTGTCAGAAAGGAGTGTGTGCCGTTAATGACCCAAGGAGCCAATATCACGTACTGCAATTAATTCCAAGCCGCATAAATGTTGTCAAGTCTTAATAAATATGATATATGATGGATACGTCTGTGTGACTCGAATTAATGATAACGACAGTGTATCCAGTCGAAAGCCGACACATGAACTGCGTATACGACTTTAAAAGCACTGCCGGCCGGCCCGAAGAGATAACTATTTCTTTGGCAGGTTGTGTCATAATTTTAGAGAAAAGTGCAAAACTACCCTTTAACATAACTGTCATTTTATCAGAGATAATTGTTTCTTAACAGTTGTGTATATATATATATTTTAAACGAGAAGTGCTTGGTGAAAATGCAAGACAAGTCCCGTTTCACAGAAATTGGCAGGCTTGTAATTAATCCTCTTACAGATGGCTGGCGTTGGTACGTATTCCATGTGAAATTGGCAGGCTTGTAATCAATCCTCTTACAGATGAAGTGAACCAGACAAAATTAAAGCTGGATTAAGAAACTATTTAGTTGTGTCGAGCAGAAAAAGGAAGAGCGGATGAAGAAGAATACAGACATGGATTTTGAGACTGGATGAGGGTATTACTACGAGTAGTTCATACTTTTAACCTTTAGATTACTAAAAAAATCACCTTACAATAAAAAAATATGTAAAATTAAGAAAATAGATCTGAGAGTTCATAATAATGTTCTTTCAGTAGAGTATTTTTTTAACATCTTAACGAAATGTTCTTTACTTTCTGCTCTATGAATTAAAAATTATGGACGCAAATGCTCCATTAGTTTCATGGGACTTTTTCCCAACCAATAAAAAAAAATGACAGTTTTCCTATCTCGAAAATAAATTTTGCATGTGAGAGAGAGAGATAGTACTGATTAAAGGGAAAGAAAGAGAAAAGGAAAAAGATCAACGGACACAATGGTCACCAGCTTCCCTTGATCCATATCCTTCCGTAAATTACAATTCAAAATAAAAGAATATGTGATATCTGACACGTCTCCCTCTATTGCTTTTGCCTTTGCATTTCGATTATGTAATATTGGTATTTTTTTCGTTTATAGGTTTGAAGTATAAATTTGAATTTAAAAAAGTTATGTCAATAGATTCTCTTATGAAATTTAAATGCAGAATTAAAATTATTAATTTAAACTCATTAATTGAAGATGTTTAGTTTATAAATTAGAATCATGTGATTAAAATTATTTTTAATTTACGTGTATTTTTTATGAGAAAATATTATAATAAATCATAAATTATAATTCAAATTATAATTTGAATAATCTAACCAAACCTCCCGTAAATAAAACTTTACAATGGAACTATATATCTCTTGTCTATACAAAACCATCTCTAATTTCATGTAGTACGTATTTGAATACACACTCTTATTACTGGATATTACTATTGTGTACGGAAAGAAGAGTACTGTCATTATTTTGTGTGAGTGCAGAAAACCTTTGATCACGATCCTTGCCGTGATTGAAACTAACAATAAGATATTTTGTTGGAAAAGAGTAGGGGACAAAAAAAGATAAGTTTTTCGGGTAATCTGTCTTCTATCTTATTAATAATCTTAATTTTTAATAATTAAATTTAATCAAAATCACATTAAATTAAAAAAAATATAAAAAAAATAAATTATAATATAAATTTAACTATTAAAAAATAAAAAAATATCAATAACTTATTTTTATAAGAGACAGTCTCGAAAGTATAATGGTTGTGATATTTATGATAGACCGGCCATGACTAATGAAAAGCGCATTAAAAGTCTTTTCAAAGACATTTTTTTTTTTTTACTAAAACTTGTGGCCCACGATGTCCAATACTGCTGTCACCAAAAGGTACGAATTCGTATGGGGTCACGACCAAGCATTCCGACATATATCATATACACAGTCACAATCTTTTTGCTGTGCGTTAAGTAATAACATAACATGTGATTACGTTGATTCTGTTTAGGCCGTATGACACCAACAAACTTGAATAAATTTGTTATAATAGGAATTAATTAAGCAAATGAATTTTACATCGGTATTTATTTTTGTGTATTTATAAGTAGCACTCTCTTAAACAAAACCACCTTTAGATAAGGATCGTAACATGGGATGTGCACTGAATATATGAATGTGCATATATCACAAATAAACTTCTTTGAAACCTTGTTTGGTGAATGACACCAGAAAAAGTTATTGTTTATCAAGTACCACTACGAAATTTAGTTTATCAAAACAATCTTAATTGCTTCAGTGCCATCCAATATTATTGTGCTACTCGGTGACAATGCTAGAATACATACATATATATATATATATATATATATATATGCAAATGTGTGAGAGAGAGATGTATGGGAGAGGTGTTAGGGGTTTAGTTGCAAGAGAAAAGTACCTTAAAGCTTCCGAGGTGCTTCCATGGCCAGTCAGTAAGGATTCCCGGAGTAGTAGCCATATTAGCAATTTGTTTCTCTTGATCTCCTCTTCAATCTCGTATGCCTTTGATCTACGTTGGAGGTCCCTCTTTACATATATACATATATATAGATATATTCAAACACTGTAATAACATGCAAAATTTCCCAACTAAATATTCATATCCATCTACATATGGCCACGTACCCTTAGGATTTTACCCAAAAACTAGAAAATTGAGAGAAAAAGAAACACGTGGCAGTTAGCAATTATTATGATTCCCAACCAATGCCAACCCAAATTAAAGCAATTGGCAGAAAAGACCTTGTCTCTCAGCCACTGATTCATTAGATACTTTATAGAACCTTTTAATTAGAAATTTATTCATTCTTCTCAACTGCTTCGGCTGGACCACAATAAATGGTTTTCATTTTTTTAATTATGTTTTTTTTTTTTTTTTCCCAAAATTGTAATTGTTTTTGCTATTCCAAATTACTGAATAAAGCTCATCAGTAATAATTCAGCACGATCGTACGTTTTGCTTATATATGTGTGTGTATAAGTATATATTTATATGTGTGTATCTATCTATTTTCACAACGTGTGTGCGTGTATAATCATATCTCCGCATTCTAAGCGAATCATTATATATGCATGCATGCGCTCTCTCCCATATAAAATGAATCTATCTACGGTTTAGAAGTTATAATCAACAAATATAGCTCTTAATCAACAACCATCTATCTACGGTTTAGAATTTCTATAACTTAATCAACAACCAACAATGAAAACATAATTGTTGAAAACTCATCCACAAATATAATTGTGAGTGGAAAGTTAGAGACTAATGAACGAGGCCTAATTTTACACATCCCAATTAATTAAGTTAGTAATTCACTAAAAAAGCAAACTCTCCACCAAGCTCCCAACTATAATAAATCGAATAAAGTAAGAAAATTCACAAAAGGCATCCGCTCAAGAGTGCAAAACATCAGCTTAAATAAAAGTGAATCAAAGAGTAAAATTGAACTCAAGTTACAACTTTATTCAAGTTCATGTTTTTTTATAAAATTTGAGTTTAAACTTGAGTTTGAACTCGAGTTTTAACTTGAGTTTGGGGTTAAAATCTAAGTTTAAGTTTCCCATTCAACTCAAGTTCTTAAACACAAACTCAAGTTAATGAACAATATTTTTTCTATTATTAAAAACTCCATAACTTTTTCGTTTTAATTTCGATTGAGATGATTTTTTTACTATGCGTTCACAACGACGACACGAATAAAACTCTATCCATATACCCTATTAAAATTTTCCATCACCATTGAGTTTTTATTAAAATACTATTTAAATACAAATTCAAGTTTTGACTCACCAAAACACAAACTCAAATAGATTCTCAATTCAAACCATAACTTAAATGTGCAAATCTAAATATAAACTCAAGTTACAACTCCAACTCAAATTATAACTTAAATTCAACTCAAAATTTATACTCAAATCATCATAATTTAAAAATATAACTAAACAAGCTCTAATTATTTCTTTTCTCCCGTTCACAAAAAGGAAATTTTTTTTTTTTGGATGATGGCATAAAAAAGAGAGTTAATGTTGGTCCGATTATGTATCCAGAAAAGGTTTGTCTACCCTAAAAGGAAAGCATATCATGCGTTTTTTTTTTTTTTTCCTTTCTTGAAGCATATTGGATGAGAAATAATGCGATCAATACACTCGCCAATAAAGCGTTGAGATAAAACATCCTAACTTGTCTGCCCTACCGACCGGAATAAATAGTTGATGTCTCCAAGTGACAGCACATACAAAAGTAACAAAACAATATACATTTCTGCCAAAAAACAAAAAAAACACAAACGTAACACGTAAGCCCTGTACGGAATCTTTAACACGTTGAAAGAGATGTGTGAATGTGAGTTTTGCAGGGTATTCAAAGCAATAATAATAATAATAATAATAATAATAATTAGGACAATACAAGAAAAAGAAATACGTGTAAGTAACCTTAGAGAAAGATCATAGTTTTCCTTTTGAAGGTTTAAATTAATATTGTTCTTTCTAGCAAAATATTAATATTGTTCTTACAGATCATTCAATTCAGGGGGGGAAGGAGGAGAGGGCAGGTCGATTTAATTAATATAGACTTCGAATAGTGCAGTGTCAATTAAGCGGATTTGATTGAACATCTTGTTTTTGTTCAAACTTGATATTATCAATGAAGATAGATATTTTAAGAAACCCAGATGAAGAAGCATCTTCCTTAGAAGTATAACACTTAATTAGATCCTTTTTTTCTAAATTCATTCTTTGAATTTCAATTCTGTGGATAAATGTATCAAACAATCTATAAACTACGTTCTTTTTTCCTTGTCGTAATTATCTATAAATTACGTTATCCTCACTATTTTATTATTTCAACCCTGCCTGGGGTATTTTTTAGAACATTTTCCTCTTACTCAAAACTACTATTTTTTTTTTCTCAAACACTTAATTTGACCAAATATAATCCCTCCGAACCTCTACAATCATTATCCTTTAGATTTAACGTTTGGTTTCAAAATTACCCCCTTTACCCATTGAACACCACCGTTTGGGAGAAAATTTTAGGATTGGTTCCCTAAGGCAACATTTTTTTATGTGTGTGTGTGTGTAAAACAATAACCACAATAACCACAATCATACTTAATTGTTTCTAATTTCATGCATTAAACTAACTTATTACCAATTGTAAGTTTCATTAGCAAACTGCAAACATAAATGTTCCAAGACTATTAATATCAAACTTTAAATTATACATATGCAAGAAGATATAATTGAAAGTGATAGTCTAAAAAGAAAATTTGCAATCAGTGTAACAAAGATAAAATCAAGTTGGGTGCTTCGTTTTTTATAAGATTATAATGTGAATCTACTTTCAATTGTGAGATAGTTTATCTTGACCATTAGAGGTAGATTTTTTTTTTCGAGTAGACTATTACTGGACTTATATGAATTTGATTTATCTAATAATTCCATTTAATAAAACAAAATCAGGCCATTTATGTGGCAATCACAATTACAAGTGGATAAGTACTTCACTGTTATGGGTTATATCTTTAGATGATCAAAGAGTGAGATTTTCATTATGTGTTTAATTACCTCAATATATTTGGAAATATGATTCATAAAGGACTAGTGTATTCACAGATATAGAATCTATCGCTATTTCATAAAGAGTTGACGTTTGGTTCATGGATTCAGAATAATAATTCAAAACCATTCTCATTTTACGTGTGTCTTTTGTGAGAGAAAATACTGTAACGAACCACGAATCATGATTCGAATCATGGCACGAATCCCCCTTCCAAACGTCATATGACCACAGCTCTTTCATGTACAACTCCCCCGTTCAATTCAGTTTAAAAGGCCCAAACACGGCCAACCCTGCCATTATAATTATACGATAATTTTATACCGTTAGACGATAACTAAATTGAATCAGACTAAACAAAGTGACATAAATTGATGAAACATTTAGCAACGTTATACATCGTTTATTAAATACCTATTAAATTTCTACTTTTGGTATTCACATTAGCTTTAAAAAAAATTTCAAACGCCTGTATGCTTCTGGTCACAATAACTTCTGAACACATTTAGTCTATGAATTATGAACATTTCGTTACTTTAGATCTTGACTTTTTTTCTTGGTAGATTACTTTTTGAACTTTTATTTTTTTGGCAGTATTAGTTCCTAAATTAAAATTGATCTCAAAAGATTCCCAAAATTTAATAGAGATAATCACATGATCTCTATCATGCAACTGCAAGTTTTACAGAATTAGCTACATATTTAAGGTCAAATATTCTACTTTATAATACGTGTTTTTAACTATTAATATATTTTCGATTTAAAATAACTATTTTTCTAAAGACTTAATTTCTGTTGCTCTGAGTTAGTGAAGTTATTAATTATCTTTGTTATGGTTCTGAAATCTTTCGTACAAAAACTGAAGTTCACAGGAGTAATTTGTTAAGAAATGAAAAAATTTAAGACCAAAGTGATATAATACCCATAGTTTGAATGACTGCTAAATGTGAAATGGCATTTTGACACTTGACGTGCAGCATTATCTCATTCTTTTTCCTAAATTTTGTCAGCAATTAACGACATATCATAATTAATACGAATGGCACTCTGTTTTAGAAAAAGTTTATTTATTTATTTATTTGATGTAAAAGAAGTTAGTTTATTAGGCTGTGCCTTATCCTGTATCACACCATCATAAAAATTACGTGTAAGAGTTTGGGAATCTTCAATTAACTTGTAAGTTCAAAGTTTTATTTCCATATTTATAAATTTAATATCGAGTCTATTTCCTATTAATATAAAATACATCTTTTTTAATTCGTAGGTTTAATTAGGAGGGTCGTAATTACTATTTTGGAGTAGTTCGGACGTTGAATTGATAAATGCAATATTGTCGTCGTGATCCAAGTTCACTTGTCATGTTTTCTTGTCATGTTGAAATTTCTCTCTTTTGATTAATTGATCCTAGTTTAGTAACGTGTTTTGCAAGTATTACTGTTCGTGAAGTACCCGAACGTGTTACTGTCGGTAAGGCACTCGAATAGTATATATTATTTACTATATATTTAATGAAAAATGTATTTATACATCAATATAAATGTCTTGTGTTTATATTAAAAATACTTTTTATATTCTTTATCAACAAGAAATTGTTTTAATTTCAAACACTTGGCCGATAGGTTCGAAAAAAGATTTAATACAAAAATTAGAAAGAAAATTACTGAAGGATACGTATAACAAAATAATAATAATAATAATTAGGACAATACAAGAAAAAGAAATACGTGTAAGTAGGGATACCTTAGAGAAAGATCATAGTTTTCCTTTTGAAGGTTTAAATTAATATTGGGGAAGGAGGGGAGGGCAAGTCGATTTAATTAATATAGATTTCGAATAGTGCAGTGTCAATTAAGCGGATTTGAATGAACATTTAAGCGGATTTGATTCAACATCTTGTTTTTGTTCAAACTTGATATTATCGATGAAGATAGATATATTAGAAACCTCAGATGAAGAAGCATCTTCCTTAGAAGTATAACACTCAATTAGATCTTTTTTTTTTCTTCTCTATTAACAAAACCACTAAATTCATTCTTTGAATTTCAATTCTGTGTATAAATGTATCAAACAATCTGTAAACTACGTTCTTTTTCTTTTTTTGTCATAATTACCTATAAATTACGTTATCCTCACTATTTTATTATTTCAACTCT